GATTTTGTCGATGAGACACCAATGCTCAACATATTACACGGTCCATATTACACTCACTTATCCTCACACGAAGGTTAAGTATCCTCTAACTCAAGAATTACTTTCTTCATCTCCACATCATCAGAAATACAAATTCGATTACAGACTCTCAACATACCTTGCACATCTAACTTGAAATCATCATTATCATACTAATCGAGTCCAACCATCGAATCTACCAATTCCACATCTAACTTCTGAGCTTCTTTGATACTGTCCAGAAAATCATTCTTAATCTTCAATATCCCTAACATAACACTCTTCGGTGTCACTTCGCAAACTAAGCTCATATCTCTGAACTTTTCAACTAACTCCAATTCTTTAACCATCATTGCCGACATATGTAAAGTCTTTCGACTTAAAGCGTCAGCCACGACATTAGCTTTATCGGGATGATAATTCAAACTGAAATCATAATCTTTCAACAACTCCAACCATCTTCATTGTCTCATATTCAATTCCTTCTGATCAAATAAATACTTTAAACTCTTATGGTCGCTAAAGACTTTAAATCTAGAACCAAAAAGGTAATGTCTCCAAATCATCAACATAAACACCACTGCTGCTAACTCTAAGTCACGTGTAGGATAATTCCTCTCATGAACTATGAGTTGTATAGAAGCACAAGCAGAAACTTGTCCATTCAGCATTAGAATACCACTAAGTCCCATCTTAGACGCATTCATAATACACTACAAATGACTCACTCGGATTAGGAAAAACCAATACCGGAGCAGTCGTCAATCTTTTCTTTAGTTCTACAAAACTTTCTTCACATGCAACATCTCATACTTGAAATGATGAACGATTATCCTTTTTAATGACGAACATCTCATTTCTCAACTTATTCGCCAACAACACATTGTGCTTGACCTCGTCTCGAACAACTGCGATAATAATCATTAATGCCCAAAAAGCCTCTAGTTCCATAAACGACTTCAGAGTCCATCCCTATGGGAATGCATCAACCATATTTGAAAACACTTTCATAGGATAGAATATATTTCTATCTCATAGATTCAAACGAAACACCAATCCGATACTCAGAACACAAGATATGAATTTCCAAAGTTATCTGAAAATGCGAGCACCGACGTCGTGCAACGACATACTATTACACACCTTGCGATAACATCAGAATATAATTTCTTTGTACCAGTACCAACACTTACCATCCTTGAAATCGTACTCATCTCCTCGCATTTCCGACTCTGACTCACGATTCAAAATATTCCAACAACTTCAACAACTTTTATAATCACTCTCAAGGATCCCACAATAAGGTCTACAACAATCTGTCACTCTATCATCATTCAAACGTTGACATCTTACGCAAGGGCTACTCAAACCGACAACTTCATAGTCCACCAGCAGCACTGAAAAATTGCAAAATTTTAAATTCCATCTTCTAAAAATTATCCTTGTTACTTAACAATCACCTTCAGAAACATCAGAGATTTACACTCTACTCGTATATAAACAATTGTTACATTGATCCTCATCCTTAGAGAAGTAAACATCAACAATGTATAATCATCCTCCCTCAAGACGTTCCAACTTGATTAACAAAAAAATCTTTAATCCATGTCACCTTTGGATTCCGGAAACAACAAGACTTCAACAGTGCTTGCACTGTCGCCATATCGAACCAACATCTTACAACTGAATCATATCTGAGAAGCAAAGCTTCTCCCCCACTTATCTTCAAACCAACTCCTGCAAACAAGCGATTAGAAAAGCAAGCAAGCACCGACAGTGTTTCACACACTTGTCGCGTACTAAGGAACAAACAACATTAGACAACTTGGACGAACGAACCGACTTTACTCTGATACCAACTTTGTAACACCCCAATTCTACCCAATAATTATATATAAAATCAGAGTTACAAAAATTCAAAAATCGAATCAGGATACTACAAATTCAACTTAGTACAACGACATTCATCAATGATACATAACACATTAAATTTGGATGAACAAACAACAACATAAATTCATCTTTTAAAACCAACAACTTTCATAACCACGCAGCGGAATCAAATATTCAACTTAAAGAATATAACATCTTTATCCAACTAAAACAACTTCAAATAACAGTTATTTAACGAACAACAACTTAAAGTTCAATCAACTAAAATAATAACAACAATAAAATATCAAGCGTTCATCCCCCTGAGTGTTACGTATCAGAGAAATGACACTGACTCAAACTACTGAAGGTAAACCTCCTTCACTCTTGGTTACATGCATGTTACCAATAGAGGGAAACATTCAAACAGAATGAGTGAGATATCAAACATTATAATCATATGTATGATAATATTACATTAGAATTAGTCTATGCAAAATCACCACTTCACAACTTTAAACAACATCAATCACAACAAAAATATCAACGAATAATAATAAATTCATCAACACGACAACTCAATATGCAACGTGAAATGCAACTTGTTACTATGCATATGCATGTGGTACCAATGGAGCAGAACTCCCATCTTAGAAATTGCCAATTAATAGAGGTATCAACAAGGCATAAGCCTTCTTCGCAGTTTGCCAGTCCAGGCCGTCGTAAAATATGTAAATGTATGTGACTCAATGAATGCACTATCACATACTCACAACAATCATCGTTCATCATAAGGCATAAGCCTATATCACCATTATTACCAGTAAATAGAGGTAATTCATCGTCATTTAAAATTTCCTGCAACTTCGCATTATCAACAAAATTCACAACAACAATCACAACAACACAACAACATTGGCATAAGCCTACAACTTAATAATAATTCAACATAAAATAACGTTGGGCATAAGCCTTCAACTTAATATTTGTCCATCATTAGAGGCATCTCAACATAAATCATCAACCTGTAATTTCTCAACTCGGAACAACTTACATAGCAACTAAGAAGAATAACAACTAACTTATACTCCTCGGCTCAACGTGCAACTTCGTTTCGCTCGACAACAGTATCGTGCTCCTCGGCACGCCTCGCAGCCTAATGTCGCTCGACATCTAACACATATATTCTCCAACACACTTCGCAGCCTAAATGCTGCTCGACACCTAACACCATCGGCATCCTCCTCGACCACTAGTTCGGCCAACAACACATGACAACACGGCGTCATAACGACCACATCAATACAATTCATAACTTCCGACCAACTGCTCGAAATACCATAGTAACGGGCAACTATATTTCCTATCAACAGATTTGTTCATTGTATAGGACATTCACGCATAAACCTTCCTAATACGACCACAACAATAATTCCTAGTTTCCTGTCAATTGGTCGGAACACCACATCATCATAACGACCACACCACCCAGTGATAAACTACACTAACCTAATCATTGATCCTACCGGGAGATCATACTTACAACTCAAAACCGCCCACAACACTACTAACGGACAACTTCAACAACAGGTTCACTAATCATGTGATACAGTCATACAATGACTCCCTAACGACCACAACATAGAGAAACTGGCACTTCGATAATAAATCCAGAAACATCAACGCACACAGTCACACAAACGACCAATTCCCACATAATACACATCATAAATCTCATTATAAGGTAAGAACCCCACCCTTACCTGGATTGAAGTTTGCTCAACCAAAGTTTCGATCGTAATCCACGTTTTGCTCTGCTCGACACCAGACAGTTACTCCTCTCGTCGCGCGGCTTCACACGGTCAGCACACAAAATTCCTTATTCTCTAAAGGCCAGATCCTTGTGTCAGCTTAACCTTATATATCAATCTTATTAGGCTTAACTTACACCCCTCCTCCCCCACTTTACTACATCTAACCAATAAAATAGATCCAACACAAATATTCTATTAATTCCAATATTATTATTATTAATCAACTAATTAACTAATTAATTAATAATAATCTAACAACTTCTACCAATAACTCCCAACACCTCGTCACTTTTCCGGCGTTATATGTACGCCTAAAATTCATTAAAAATTCGCAATAAATGCCAAACCAAAGAACCAAAATTCCACTCATAACAAATTTGAACATCCAAAATTTATTAAGAATTTGCAATAAATGACGAGCCAATTAACCAAAATTCCACTCATAAAAAATTTGAACTTACTTTGAAATTTTTCATTAAAAAAATAAATTTCAATAAAAAAATAAATCCCGGATTGAGTTTCATTATAGGCTGTCTTGGATTATTAACTGGTAATACAATGCAATGCAATACAATATATATAAACTTAATAATTGAACTCAGTCATCTTTCAATGTGGGACTTTTCTTTCAATTTTTCACCAAATATATGGTATATTTGTCTATCTCTCTTAAGTTAGCCATGTTTTTTATTTATTAATATCCAATATTTATATATCACATATATATAATAATTACTTTTTAACTAAATAAATAGAGAGTTTATTTTAATTAAATATATTTTACATTCATAACGTACTGGTTAGGTACCGCGAATTTGTACCACATACTAAAGTGAATTTACGAACCCTGTGACTATGACTCAATCACTAGTGTTGTTGGGAGATTATTAATCCACTAATATTGTTGGAATTAGAGATGTGGAATTAAAGTTCCACCATGAAAGAACACTGATTTTTCTAAGGTCTTATGCACACTTGAGATAAAAAAATAATTTAGTGTCTAGTCAACTTTTAAATAAGGAGGTGTTTACTCATTTTATAGGCGAAGGTTTGAACACACATCTACAAATTTTGAGTATTTCTATGTATCAAATGACTAAGACATGAGTCAACTGCGCCTTACACTCCACAACTTAAAATTGGTAGAGTTTCCTTTAGATAGAAGACATATTATTTCAACAACAAAATCACCTGTCTTTACATATACTATTCTGTTATATTTCCATCATGTTACAGATATTAGACCTATACATCAACTTCTATTTATGAAACACAGAAAACAACTAAACAATCATCCTAGTTGACGAGAGTAACCAAATCCATTGAATCACCATATCTTCTAATAAGTGACTCAGCAGACCAAGCATGTTGTTCACCAGCAAACTTTGTCATCCCTGCTACACTAACAGGAATTGCAGATTGTAGAGCTCCAGGCATCCAAACAGAAGCAGTAACTGTCAGCCTGTTTTCGCGGTCTATCTCCATGCAGACATTGATCTCCGGAACTCCTTTTGATGCTTCTGGTATTTCTGTTATTTTGAAATATCCCAAAAGATGGTTTTCTTCAGCTTTCTGTCCCTCGCCTTCGTACACAACGATCAACGCTGCATTTTGATTATCATGAATTGTAGTGCAAGCTACGTGCCTTGTTGTTGGCAACGATGTGTTCCTCGGAATTACAGGTACGAAGTTGTTTCCATTCGCACGAATTCCTATGGCAACAAGTGTAGCATGAAAATCAAACAGCTGCAACTTCCCATACATAAATCTAATGCCTGAAGCAATGGCTCCTGCTACAGCTGCACCATAAATTGCACCTTCGAAAGGATTGATATATGTATAAAGTTCCTTTCTTTTGCATATTTTGGTAACAAGATTTTTCACCTTTGGTATATTATAACATCCACCAACAATTATCACATCATTTATATCATCAACTTCTACCTTTGCATCATGTAAACATTGGATGATTAGTCTTTCACACTTGTCAAACACCTCTTTGTTTACTTCCTCAAACTGCTCCCGCGTTACAACCTTGTGTATCTTCAAATCATCTCCCATGTCTAAATCAACCTCAACACTTGTCTGAGACGAAAGCCGGGTAATCGCTTCCTGAATTGTACATCGAAGAAGAGCCATTGATTTAATTTCTGTGTCCTCGTGAATACGTTTCTTGATTCTATTTACAGAATCAGGTACGAGATGACATATCATATTTCCAAGCAAATCTTCTCCACCAATAGAACTTCCAGTCAGGGCTTTTATTCTGCATTTTCCTGCTGCTATAGCAGTAACAGCAACATCACAGTAACCAGAATCCATATTGAAAATAAGAGCCATTTTGCTGATTTCACTGACCGAATGGTCCAGTGCATACAGCAAAGCGACTGCTGTTGGTTGAGGCATCGTTCGGATAACTTTTAGACCGGCCTTTGCACAGGCGCAATGTATCCGGTATAGCTGCAATCGACTGAATGAAACCGGAACTGCAAACACGACATTTCTTATAGGTCTTTTCAGCTGAGCACCAACCATTAATCTTAATTCCACCAGAAACTTTTCAAGGAGTTCTACTGCAGTTGTTGATCTCCACACTTTGTTCACAAATGCAGCAATAAAAGGGTGAACCTTAATGTCCAATGTATGCATCAGAAATGGGAAATCGACACTCTTATAGACTGCAGAATCACTATCAACTATGTCAAACAAGCGTTTCAATTTGAAAAGTGTATCCTCGTGCTCACTGGAGAGTGTGACTTCACTACTAACTCCAATAGAAAAGGCGTCGTCTTTGAAAACTTCACGTGGACTCTTAATCATCTCTTTTAACGTCTCTTTGAAAACCTCTATTTCGAAACCATTCCATATAGAAATACTACATGGTGATGTGCCAATATCAATTCCAATTGTTATTTCACCAAGAGTCGGCGACTTTTTCTTCTTAGTCCTTTGGCTGCAAGATGCAGGTTCTGTCATCCTGCGATTAAAAGACAACCAGTGAAAAATATTATTTTCTTGAATGGCAGACATGGCCATAAAAGAAATATCTGAAACCAGTGTTTCTTGAATTCGTTAATGTGCATGCATGTGTCTGTAATGCTAAACATACTCAAGATTGTGTTTCTTGCATAACAATTAACAAAAAGAAGATTGATATGGCAAAAGAGTAAAAGAAGAATGATAGTAAACAAAGGAAGAGATGAAGGTAAAGATGAGATGCCTGATGAGTAGCACAATCTGGATTGAAGGTTTCTGGGAGTGCAAGACTTGGATCAACGTATTTCACTATTAAGCAACAAAGATAGAATAGCAGAAGACTAATTGAGAGTACAAACTAATATTACCGATACAAATTACTCCCTGCTTTTGGATATACTATATATAAGAATTTTTTTTTTCAATATTTGATTGTTTGAAAAATGAGAAAATTTGTTGTCAAAACACAAAACTAACCTATGCCTAATAAAATCAAAGAATAATAAACTCTAAGTGTCTTTTGTATTTCTTTTTCTTTCAGATCATTTATATATTTAAAATACTGAGCATTTATTATTTTTTTTTACTAATATACTTTTATTTATTATATTTTGACTCAACTAACTATTTCATTAATTAAATTTAATAAAATATTTTAGTAAACAAAGCTCAATTTATTATTATAAATAATATAACTAATTACTCCCTAATAAGTGTCTTGTCCCAAAATACTTGTCATTTTAGATTACTAATAAAACTTTATATTTAATCTTTCAATTGTATATTTTAATAAATACTTTTAATTTATTGTTTTTTCACTTAACGTTAATACTAATTTGAATACATCAATAATTAATATGGATAATTTAATAAAGTTATTATTCTCTCTTTCATTTATTACTGTTTTTTAATTCGTGTGAAATAATCAATTGCAATAAGTATAATATAGGACTGAGAGAATATTATTTAAAAATATATATTTAAAAATATATATAATTAAAAAAGACTAAAAATAAACTAATAGTAGTTTACTTCATAACTGATTCAAATTCTAAAACTTCTGTAACTAATTTTGTTTAACTAACCAACTAATTCAATTGGTTATCTATTTAAGACTTGTCATCTCAAGTTGAATTTTATGTTACGCTTATATTTTTGCAGTTTTTGGATTTTAGGTTGTTTTGTTAGATAAAGATTGGTGTTGTTTGTTGGTTGATTCTATTGTATGTGCCTATCCTGAGTTTTTCTTTTTGTTGCATATATGAATTCTGGATTGGATGTTGAGGTATGAAATTTGGGTTTTTAATAATACTTTGTTAATAATATAGTAATTACTTTAAAAAAAATATTTTTTTAACCATATATCAAAACATTGATTTTTGTGAGTGGCATCCACGTGCACAGTGCCAAGTTGAAAAATTGGAAGAAACATTTCAGTGTTTGGTAAATTTGAACTTTCAAATTGACAAACAAATACAATTCCAGACATTTACAGTTTTAAAACTCCATGATGATAGGCACTCCCTTATTATAATACCACTTAACAAATTGTCTCTTGCATTAATTTTTTTTTTACCAAAATAACTTTATTTAATACATCTTCTCTTTCTTGTGTAGAAGAGAACGAAGTGGGAGTGATGGGTCAGATTGAAACACAAATAAAGCATATGTGGATATAATAAATCAGATTGAAACACTGAGAAGACAAATCCAGTTATTTAAGGATAATTATTCAAAATTTCTCCCCAACACAAAGCCTATGCAAAGCCTTGATTTCCAAAGCATCAAAGGGGAATAAAAATAAGAAATCCATACCCTCAAGTTTCGAGAAAGTTGGAGTGCCTAAAAAATAATGGCTCATTTCCACCTCCAACTTGAAAGTGATACACAATTGCAAAATATGAAGGAAATAAATAATATTTTTACTTCTGTTTTTAGTTTCCTTGTGTATTCGGGAAAGTCATGGCATATCATTTAGGGCTAAAAATTGATATTGACCATGCCATTTGGACCATCTGCTGTGCCAATCATTAGGCAACCGGTTTATCAGTAGTTGCTTTATAGTAAAGCATCTTCTGTACATAGAACATCATGTAACCCTGAGCAGCCCTCACAATGTTTTCATCAACTTGAGTAACCCAGGAATCATCACACTTGTACCATTGATTGCTTAGTCGCAGATAAGTCACGTAATGGCCAGCATCTAGCTTACCAGAGTGAGTGACGACAGCAAACAATTCAAACTCTGAACATAGATCATTTGAAGCATCGGGCTCTTCTCCTTCAAAAGGAAATATTCTGTTACCAAACCGACGTCTTAAGATCGAGGACGAGAGATAAGGTGACATGTCCAGTGAAAATGGGAACTGTAGATAACGGTCCACCTTCCTTGACATTTTTCTAGTTGAAGAGTGCTCAAATCTTTTTATATGGAAGCAAGAAACGAGGGGAAGCTTCCTTATGGACATCTGCTTGAGAGTTTCCTGCTTCACCTGACACTGCTGACAGAAAAACTTTTGGTTTGACCCCAATTTCTCTGCTCTTGTAAATCTATCTAGGCACCCTGTCAAGGTAGATATCCCATGGTTTTGGCTGGAATCAGCCTCGCCATTGCCAGAATGACTGGAAGCTGCAGCAGCCATCTTAGTAGAACTGCCTTGATTCGGTTCCAAGTCAAGTGAGATGTCTATGCATGGGTCATAAGTTGTTGATGTGAATCCACAAGCCATACACATAACATCTGATCGCAAAATACCAGAGAATACCCTATGAGCAATACAACAATCACCACTGCCTGCACAGTCAAGAAAATGAGATCACAAAATGTTATCATCATGAAACACAAGCAGACAAGAGCACATCTAACATTGAAGATCTTGCACATTTTAGCAAAAAGTAGCAAATAAGATCAGTATAGAATAAATTAAAAATAAAACAAAAGGTGGGGCATACTATCAAAAATGAGGTTTTCAAGTGGAGGTGACAAAAATTATAATCGAACAGCCATTGTAAGAACCAAACATGTTCAGGGCATTATCCATAATCCCTCTACAATATTCTGGAAGAGTGAACTGATTCTCGAACAAACAGAGTCCTAAATCTGGGCTTCTAATTGGGAATGAGGATGTGGAACTTGCAATGAAACAAGAGAGACAATAAATACGGTATAAAATTAGTCACACAAAAGCACAACAGTACAAAAGATGCTGGTCTTGGTGTTTTATGCCGGATATAAAACATCAAGTAGAAAGAACCCCATGGATTCTTTCAAGGATAAAATCTTAGCCCGGGATTAGAAAACTTGTTCTATTGCATTCAAGGGGATTGAAAAACTAAGGCAACTTTCTCTCTAGATAGACAAGCCTTGTATAATTAACTGGAACCTAAAAATGGCAAAAAGATGGAGTTAACATTAGCATCTTTTGATCTAGAATCTCCTATATGGTGAAGTGAATAGGTTAAGGAAAAATTGACTTACTGAGACTCATTGGAGTGTATGCGCTAACACCATCATCAAGAGATAGCACAGGTTGGGATTGAGAATTGGCGCTAATTGTTTGAGCAATGTCAACTCCTAAGGCAACAAGCAAGAAACCTAAACCCTCACCCTGCATTTCAATGTTATGGTAACTATGTTATCTTAAAAGAGTATTCTGAATCATTTTGAAAGTTAAAAATATATCAAAACATTGAAGAAAGCAAGACAACTGCACTCTATTGACCATTTTCATAGTTAGCATGTTTGCAACTATAACTATGCTAAGCTAATTCCTTGGCTTGGCATCTGTTGAAATGGGTAGCAGATTAACCACATGGACCATCTAAAGGGTTTGTGTTCTTGACAATCAATGCTACCACCAGTCTACCACCCAATATCAAAGATCAATATCATTTCCTATTTTAGAGTTTCAAATTCTCTCATAACAATTAAACCAAGGAGTTAATTTTTGCCAATGAAACAAGCAACTGAGGTGGGCTAATGTAGATTTTGGTCATTGCAGAAGTCCTCTTAACACAACAATTAAAAAATAAATGACACACATAGAAGTCATTCCTATTCCCTATATTAATTTATTAAAAACACCATAACCATGACTTAAATACACTGAAACAAACATATCTTAAAGAGTATAACAAAAAAACACCAAAGAAACCAGAGTTTCCACAAAGATTAGAAAAAGACTACAGGCCAATCTTGAATAAAACACAACTTTTTTCAACAAGAAATTCCTTTCATGCCATAAAATTGAATCAAAACCTCCTTTCAAAGAAGGTGAAAACAATAAACTGGTGTGAGACTGTATTAGAATGTAGTACCGTCACTGTGTGTCTTATGCCGATCCTTGTCCACCTTTTCATGGATTCCATCAAGCATGGAAATGAAAAATTCATGTGCATCCTGTTGTTCATAACTGGCAAGGTTGGACTTGGCAGCATGCTGCCACCAACTGAAACACAACAATAATATGTATTAAATTAAAAATTCATACATCACCAATAATCAATCTATATAGAAACCCAATAAAGAAATTATAAAAAAATAACACACAACATTTACATGACACCTAAAAAGCCCCAGAAAGCTAAGCTCCACATTATACACACCTGTACAGGAACTTGGCGGGGCTATAGGGAAGACGATCTCCAGAAAACACAGCGGAGAACATAGCATCCATATCACAAGCTAAGCATATCGGTCCATTCGTTTTCCCATTGTTACCACCACTTTTTTTCCTTGTTGCTATGGTAGAATCATCACCATCAGTATTACTATTCTTCTGGCAAAAGTACCGATTATGCTTATCGCTCAGGAAGTAATTTCTCAACGGTGGCGTATGAAACAACGCCTGCAACACTGAATTCATGAAACAAGTGTTTCCCAGGTTATTCAGCCCTCGCAATCCCCGCGGAAACTCTGGGAAAGAATCATCACCGTCAATCGGAGCAGAACAGCTTCCGATCAGAGCTCGTTCTCGCAGATCCGGAGTCACAGGTCGATA